TTGACCTAGATGTCCCCCTGAGACTATGATAGCCAACTTATTCTTGCAACTCATTGAGGTGAACTGGGGCACATGCATGATCCTAATCCAGTACCTGGCAAGAGGGTGCTATTATTGTCAGACCAGTCTGGACCACTCCTGGAGCCGAGGGTGTCAAGCTACAGGGACTATGGACAATAGGGAGGAATCTCTAAATAACACTGAGGGTATATTGGGAAGAAGGAAGGAAGAAATGCTGAGTAGGTAAAGAGCTCACTTTTGTATTCCCATCATCTTGCTGTTGTTAGGTGTTTGGTTCCAACTCACAGTGATCCTATGTACAACAGAACAAAACACTGCCCATTCCTGTGCCATCCTCAAAATATTTGCTATATTTGAGCCCATCATTGCAGCCACGGTGTCAATCTTGTTGAAGTGACCCATTTTTACTGACCCTCTACTTTACCAAACATAATATCCCTCTCCAGGGACTAGTCCCTTCTGACAGCATGACCAAAGTAGAAAAGACGAAGTCTGACCAGTCTCGCTTCTAGGGAACATTCCAGCCATACATCTTTCAAGACAGATTTGTTCATTCTTCTGGCAGTCCATGATATTTTCAACATTTTTCATTAAAACCACAATTCAAACACATCAATTCTTCTTCCTGTCTTCCTTATTCATTGTCAAGCTTTTACATGCATATGAGGCTACTGAAAATACCTTGGCTTGGGTCAGGGGCACCTTAGTCTTTAAAGTTATATCTTTGCTCTTTAACACTTTAAAGAGGTCTTTTGCAGCAGATTTGCCCAATGCAATACAGCGTGTGATTTCTTTCTTTCTTTCTTTTTTTTTAATTGTGATTTGGGTGAAGGTTTACAGAGCAAATTCACTTTAACATACAGCAGTTCACATATATTTGTCTCATGACATTGACCACAGTTTACTACGATGCCACGGCTCCCCTCCCACTTCCTCCCCATAGTTACCTCTTCCCTGTGTCCATCCCTCCATGTACTCCTGCCCCCTGAGCTGTCTCCCTGTGCATAAGCAGCCCTTCTTTCTCCCATGATTGTTCTCTCCAAGG